CGCCCTCTCCGCTCTTTCCTCTCTTGGCCCAAGGGTGTCACAGGCCGCTGCAGTTGCCTCTGGGGACAAAGGTCACCCACTAGTAGCCGAGGAACGGGCCCTCAGAAACCCCCCAAAACAAACCCAGACTCACTGCCTTCGAGTCGATTCCAGTCCCACAAGACAGGGCAGAACTGCCCTGTGGGTTTCGGCGACTGTGACTTCACAGGAGCAGCCTTCTTCCACCAAGTGGCCAGGTGGTTTCGAATTTGCTGTCAGCAGCAGCTTCAGGCACTGTGCCACCAGGGCCGGCGGCAAAGCAGGCGTTATTTCTGCTCCTTTTCCTGAAATGAGCATCAGGGACACAGAAGACCCTTCTGCGGATCCCGTGCTTAGCGTTTGGGGAATGGGCAGGCGGGTTGGCCCTGTGGAGAGTAGATCCTGTCATTCAGCCTGATGGTTGGGTAATAAAAATGGTAAATACATCCAACCCTGTCATTGTATTCGTTTGATTCGTGTAATATAAATGGTCCCCGAAAGCAGAATGAAACCAGAGTGGAGAGGGGTGGGGGGGAAATCAAAGGAAAAAAGAACCCCAGGACAGGCCCGTGTCACATCACTACAGAGTCTTTGTGGTTTGTGGCAGGAATGGACGCAGCCTACTGAAAAGAGCATGGATTTCATAACAAGACACAGGCCCCATACACCCGCCCCCCACCCTGCTATTTATCCCAAGGGGCTCCCATCTCTCTGGGCTGCAATATGGAAGGCAGGCTTAATTATTTAATTAAGCCAGGGTTTTAATACATGTTTTAGTCATAACAAATGAAACAAAATTGAAGTTGTCAAAGATTTCGTTTCATAATCAATGCCCATGGAAGCAGGGGTTCAAAACATCGAATGGGCAAGTGTGTTGCCAAAGATCTTCTTCAACTGTTAAAAAGCAAATTGTCCCACTGAAGACTAAGGGGAGCCTGACCCAAACCTTGGGATTTTCAATCACCTCCTAGGAAGGGGAAAGGTGGGAGATGGCGGAAGAATTGGTGGATTTGAATTAAGGGGCCTGGGGGGGTGGGGTGGGGACAATGAATCTACAATGCATTGCCAGAAGAATGAACACATGTGTCTTGGAAGTAGGACAACCAGAAAACTCTTTCAAAATGAGATTGAGCTTCACTTACCTTGGACATGGTCCCAGGAGGAACCAGGCCCTGCAGATGGGCCTCCTGCTGGGTAAAGCAGAGGGGCAGTGAAAAAGATA